TTCCTAGACCCCGTGGTTCCCGAGATAATAATTTACCCGTAAAAACTTTCACTAGCCCGTAGATGACACCCGAGAGCGCGGGAACGCTGGATTTGAATGGGCAAGGTTGAGCGTGGGCAGAGGGTCATTACCGTAAAATTTCAGCTTCCTAGACTCCGTGGTTCCTGAGATATTGATTTACCCGTAAAAAAGTCTCACGGGACCGTACGTGTTACCCGCGGGTACGGGAAGGCTGAATTTGGATGGGCAAGGTTGGGCGTGGGCAGGGGATCATTACTGTAAAATTTCAGTCTCCTAGGCTCTGTGATTCCCGAGATTCCCGAGACTTACTCGTAAAAAACTTTCACGGGGCCGTACGAGTTACGTGCGGGTACAGGAAGGCTGAATTCAAATTTGCCGCGTCACCCGTTGGCGGGGAACACTATACCAAAATTTCAGCCGCCTAGCTTTTGTGGTTCTCGAGTTGAAGTGCGGGACAAAATGTGGGACACACACAGACAACCCCGCGACAATATGCGTTTTGTAACGCTGTTACACAACACAAAACGCATAAAAATGAGTTTATAATTCAGTGGCTGATGATATTGCAGGAAGTAAACGAGATGTATGGTTGGAGATTGATCCAGAAACAGGCACGAAACTTCATGAGCTGTCATTATCACATACAGATCGTCATTGTCCTTTGAACAAAAACAGCAGTGTTTTCATTGGAAGGTATCCATTTTATTCTTATTCGTTGACCATTCCTTTTCTAAATCAACAGCCATCACGATAGTTGGCGTAAGGAGCAATTATTTATGATAATAATGGATGCTTCCATATGCGGGATGCAGCAGTGCCGGGGAATTTCATGTTATAAATTAAATTATATGGGCACTTTTTTATGCGTTTTTTGCTGTGTAACAGCAGTCACCGGGTTTGTCTGTGTGTGTGTGTGTGTATGTATTGTGTGTACGAGTGTGTGTGTGCGCGCGTCCGCATCAACTTGTCCGCAACTTTTAACTCGGGAAGCACAAAAGCC